CTCGCTTCCTCTGAGCCCCATAGCCTGGTGGCACCTTTGGGGGAATGTAGGAGCATACGGGGAGGAACTGGACTGTCTGGCATTGGGGCAGAAACTTGGGGGTGGCTTTCTCCCAGACAGGAGTGCTCACGGGAGTCATTGTTCCTGTGCTGGGACCTCCCCCATCACAGAGCTGACTGGCAGCCATATCTGAGTTTCCATCAGCTTGGCCCACACTGTTTTCTCTGCCCTGGTGACTCCCTGAGACCCCACCCCACCCAATTTGCAGCCCCACCCAAGCTGTTTGCAGCAGCTTTTCCATATGGATGGCCTGTTCTGGCTCAGGCTCCAGACTTTCCTAAAATCTCTTAAACAAACAGCAGCTGGAGTCAGCATGCCCCAAACCTATCAATAAAAGGCCCAAGACCTGATACCATCCTTGCTTCATAGCTGGGTCTCCCTTGGGCACTTCCTAGCCCAATGCAAGTAGCAGCCATCTGCAGATCTCTCTGTAGCTCCTGCCAGGTGCCCCCAGGCATTGGTTGACTTTGCACCTCCCTGGAGACCCAAGAGCCAGTGCACCCAGTGAACAGCTTCAGACCATACCAGATTACAGCTCTACACATTCACAAGCAACACACACAAGGGGCATACTCAGTGAGCTCCAAAGACCCATTGAAGCAAGTCCTGCTCCATAGGGGTGTCTCCTGTACAGCAGCTCTTCCACTGTAGCCACAGCTGGTCCTCACAGCCAATTGGCCAGGAGGTCAATTCCTCCCAGTGATGCCAACAGCAATCAAGACTCAACTATGCCCTAGTTGGTTTGGCTCAGTGGGTAGAGCATCAGCCTGTGGACTGAAGGATCCCAGGCTTGATTCCAGTCAAGGGCACATGCCTGGGTTGCAGGCTTGATTCCTAGTAGGGGTTGGGCAGAAGGCAGCCAATCAATGATTCTCTCTCTCATCATTGATGTTTCTAGCTCTCTCTCCCTCTCCCTTCCTTTCTGAAATCAATAAAAATATATTTAAAAAAGAAGACTCAACTACAAGACTGTGCACATAGCCCACACAGGGGCACACCTAGAGTGCCAGCTCAGGTGACTAAGGAGGCTGAGCCACTGGGCTCTACAGGACACCTACTGCACAAGGCCACTCTACTAACTCCAGGAGAAATAACAGCTCTACATAGAATACATAGAAATAAATACAGGGAAGCAGTCAGAATGCAGAGACAAAGAAACATGTTACAAATTAAAGAAATGGAAGAAATCTCCAGAAAAAGAACTAAATGAAATGGAAGCAAGAAAACTACAGATACAGAGTTCAAAACAATGTTTAAAAGGTTACTCAAGGATCTTAATGAAAGTTTCAAGGAACTTAATGAGAGCTTCAAGAGAATTAATGAGAGCAGGACTTAGTGAGACTTTCATAATCTTAGTGAGAATGTCAAAGACATGGAAAAGGACCAGTCAGAATTAAGCACACACTAACTGAAATAAAGAATAATTTACAGGGATTCAACAGTAGGGTAGAGGATTCTGAGGATCAAATCAACAATTTGAAATATGAGGAAGCAAAAAACACCCAATCAGAAGAGCAAAAAAGAATCCCGAAAAGAATCCAAAAACATGAAGATAGTGTAAAGAGCCTCTAGGACAACTTCAAGCATACCAACATTTGCATTATGAGGGTGCCAGAAAGAGAAGAGAGAGAGCAAGATATTGAAAACTTATTTGAAGAAATAATGACAGAAAACTTCCCCTACCTGGTGAAAGAAATAGACTTACAAGTCCAGGAAGCACAGAGAGTCCTAAACAAGAGGAACCTAAAGAGGACCACACCAAGACACATCATAATTAAAATACTAAGGGTTAAAGACAAAGAGAGAATCTTAAAAGCAGCAAAAGGGAAGGTGTTAGTTACTTCAAGAGAGCACCCATAGGACAGTCTGCTGATTTAGCAATAGAAACTTGGGAATGGCAAAAAATAGTCAAAGTGATGAATAGCAAGGACCTACAACCAAGATTACTCTACCCGCCAAAGCTATCATTTAGAATTGATGGTCAGATAAAGAGCTTCACAGACAAGAAAAAGCTAAAGGATTTCACCACCACCAAACCAGTATTATAAGAAATGTTAAAGAGTATTCTTTAAGAAGAGGAAGAGCCCTAGTTGCCTTGGCTCAGTGGATAGAGTGTCAGCATGTGGACTGAAGGGTCCTGGATTCAATTCCGGTCAAGGGCACATACCTGTGTTGCAGGCTCCTTCACAGCCTGGGCCCTGGTCAGGGCGAGTGCAGGAAGCAACCAATTGATATGTTTCTCTCACATTGATGTTTCTCTCTGTCTTTCCCTCTCTCTTCCACCCTCCCTAAAAGTCAATGGGAAAATATCCTCGGTGAGGATTAACAACAACAAAAAATAAACAAATGAAAATACTCCACTGGATTCTTTGCCTTAGAATGTGCGGCTGTGAGTCAAATTCTCTTTTTTTAAAAAAAAAAAAGGAGGAAGAGAAGAAGAAAAAAATATGAACAATAAAATGGCAATAAATACGTATCTATGAATTGAATCTAAGAATCAAAATAACGAACAAGAAATCTAGTAAACAAAATAAATGATGAATAAAATAGAATCAGAGGCTTGGAAACATGGAACAGACTGATGAATCTCAGAGGGAAGAGGGGTTGGGGTGGGTGGGAAGAGATTAACCAAAGGTCTTATATGCATATATGCATTACCTATGGGCACAGAGAATAGGGTCATGAAGGTCTGGGGTGGGGTGGGAACCAGGTGGAGGGGGGCAATGGGATGAAAAAAGGGGGACATCTGTAATACTCTCAACAATAAAGATTTAAAAATAATTAATTAATTAAAAATAAAATCAGAGAAAAGGGGCCTTGGAGAGAGGACCAAGGGGTTAGCCCAGGACAAGCTGCTGCTGCCGCCCATTTCTCCCTGGTTGCAAGTCTCCTGGGGACCCTTAGATTTTAGGAGAAAGAAAGTAAAAAGTTCATGCCCAAGAAGGGCCATGGACATGCTCTGGGCATCTGTTGTCTTGAGGGTTTTCTCTCTCTTCTGCGGGTGAGAATCTAAGGGAGGGCTCCAGCAGAATATTCATCAGCTTTCCACATGCGTTTTTAATACGCTGATGCATTAAAATGAGCTGCTAGGGAGTCTGGGATTATTCTTTGGTTTGCTTTTCTGTTTTACTTTTATCTTGGGTCTGTCTGGCTCTAATCAGGCTTTTGTTATTTGTTCCCCTGACTTCATCTGCCCTTGGGTTTGGCTGGCACAAATGGCATTACTCAGGTCTCCCTCCTCTCTCTCCATGACCAGGGTGATGGAAGCTATGCATTCTCTGGTTAGGGAGGAGAGGTATACACCATTTTCTCTCAAGTGTCCTTGGTTGGGGAAGATAAGGTCTTGCGATTCACTAGCTGCTATAAGTTGTTCAAATTGTTTGGTCTCATTCAATTATCTTGTCTCAGTTTCCCCATTCCATTTGCCTGGGAATTTTTCTAGCTTCTTACTATCCTGACTTATTATGAACAAAATTACATAACCTACCTTTAAAAATTTTCTTTTTATTTAAAAATATCTTTATTGTTGAGAGCATTACAGATGTCCCTCCCCCGCCCCTCCCCCCATTGCCTCCCTCCACCTGGTTCCTGCCTTGCCCCAGGTCTTCGGAAACCCTATTGTCTGTGTCCATAGCTAGTGCACATACGCATATAAGATCTTTGTTTACTCTCTTCCCGCCCCCCCCCCCCACTACCCTCCTTCACTCTGAGAATTGTCAGTCTGTTCCATTTCCATGCCTCTGATTCTATTTTATTCACCAATGTATTCTGTTCATTAGATTTCTTATTAATTTTTTAAATTTTAGATTCAATTGTTGATAGATATGTATTTATTGCCATTTTATTGTTCATATTTTTCTCCTTCTTCTTCCTCTTCTTCTTCTTCTCCTTCTCCTTCCTCTTCCTCTTATTAAAGAATACCCTTTGACATTTCATGTAATACTGGTTTGGTGGTGATGAACTCCTTTAACTTTTTCTTGTCTGTGAAGCTCTTTATCTGACCTTCAATTCTAGATAATAGCTTTGCTGGGTAGAGTAATCTTGGTTATAGATCCTTGCTATTCACCACTTTGAATATTTCCTGCCACTCCCTCCATAATGTGAATGTCGGTACCCTTGAAGTTGTCCCAGAGGCTCTTTATACTATCTCCATATTTTTGGATTCTTTTTTCTTTTTGCTCTTTTGATTGGGTGTTTTTTTGCTTCCTCATATTTCAAATTATTGATTTGATTCTCAGAACCTTCTACTGTTGAATCGCTGTAAATTATTCTTTATTTCAGTTAGTGTATGCTTAATTTCTGACTGGTCCTTTTCTATGTCTTTGACATTCTCAGTAAGATCCTGAAAGTCTCACTAAGTCCCTTGATGCTCTCATTAATTTTCTTGAAGCTCACATTAAGTCCCTTAAAGCTCTCATGAAGATACCTTATAACCATTGTTTTGAACTCTTTATCCAGTAGTTTGCTTGCTTCCATTTCTTTCATTTGTGACCTGTTTCTTTGTCTTCACATTTTGGCTGCCTCCCTGTGTTTGTTTCTATGTATTGGGTAGAGTTGCTATGTCCTCTTGAGTTGGTAGAGTGGCTTGTGTATTGGGTGTCCTGTAGAGAGAAAGAAAAACATCGATCAGCTGCCTCCTACAAGTCCACTACCAGGGATCAACTCCACACCCGGGGCATGTGCCCTGACTGGGAATCGAACTGGCAACCAGGAATGACAGATGCTTAAGTCTTCAGGAACAAGAGAAACAACCTGAATTTTAAATAGTAATTTCTCTCATTGTTTTCCCCAGTTCTTTTCTTTCATTTTGCATTTCTCATGTTCTGTGTTATTCCTTCATGTTCCCAATAACCTTCCTTTATCTACTGGCTCTCTGTGTTCTGTTTATTTTTCCTACTTATTCACCCGTTCTCCAACCTCCCTCCTTGCACCGCATGCAGCCGACCACGTGTCAACGTATGCGGAGTTTGTGCAGACGCACAGCCCCTCTGGGGAGTACATGTTCCAGTTTGATGGGGACGAGCAGTTCTACGTGGACCTGGATAAGAAGGAGACTGTCTGGCGGCTGCCGGAGTTTATCCACACCTTTGACTATGATGCTCGGAGGGGGATTGCTGACATCGTCATGGCAAGAAAGAACTTGGACACCCTGATCCAGCGGTCCAACCACACCAGGGCCACGAATGGTACTGCTTACCCTTGCTTGTCCCTCAGCCCAGCGGCAGGGTGGGGAGCCCAGAGCCCACTCGTGGTGGCCCCGTGAGGGGGCAGTATCCAGAGGGTCAGAGGAGGCATTGCCTTCTTATTCGAGGAAGAGGTTGGGCTGAGGGAGGCCAGGTCAGGGGCACAAGAAGCCGTGACTCTGACCTGGGAGCCCTGGGGGCGAAGGGTGGGCCTGAGACAGTTATTCTATGACTGGAGAATATTGGGCCCGAGGTGGACCCCTGAGAGGCAGCCGGAGGCCTAGACTCACCAGGTGCTGTTCCTTCAGAGCCCCCGGAGGTGACTGTGTTTCCCAAGGAGCCGGTGGAGCTGGGTCAGCCCAACACCCTCATCTGCCACGTGGACAAGTTCTTCCCACCCGTGCTCAACGTCACCTGGCTGCGCAATGGGCGGGCGGTGACGGAAGGCGTGGCTGAGACCATCTTCCTGCCCAGCACAGAGTTCAGGTTCCACAAGTTCCACTACCTGACCTTCGTGCCCTCGGCCGAGGACGTCTACGACTGCCGGGTGGAGCACTGGGGCCTGGCTGGGCCGCTCCTCGGGCACTGGGGTACGGAGCCGAGCCCTCAGCAACACCATCCTGACACTGTCTCTAGTCCAGGACCCTCTCTCCTCGGCGCCTGCTCTCATCGTCCTGAAGAGCAGGCGACTCTTAATTCTGTGGCATATTGTCACTCTACCCAACGTCACCATCTCCTGGTTTCTAACTCTTTTTTTTTTTTTTTTAATTTTCACATGAGGATATTTTTTCCATTGCTTTTCAGAGAGCGTGGAAGGGAGGGGGAGAGAGAAACATCGATGTGAGATAGGCACAGAGACTGGTGGCCTCCTGCATGCACCCGACTGGGGGTGGCGGGGAATGAAGCCGCCACCCAGGTATGTGCCAGTGACCAGGAACCGAACCTGAGACGCTTTGGTGCACCGGACGGCACTCTCACCACTGAGCACACCAGCCAGGGCCCCTGAAAGCCCACAGCCAAGGCCAGCTCCTGCTCCTACACTTCTGACTTCATCTTTCCTTTGTGCCCCAGAGGCCCAGGAGCCGATCCAGGTGCCCGAGACAACGGAGACCGTGGTCTGTGCCCTGGGCCTGCTGGTGGGCCTGGCGGGGATCATTGCTGGCACCATCGTCCTGAAGAGCAGGCGACCCGACAGCGTCCCTGGGTGCAGGGCCCCCTGTGAGTCCTCGGGTGTGGGTAGGAGGGGCACAGTGGAAAGGAGTGGCCAGCGCTATGGGTGGGGATGTGTTACTGCACGAGGGCCTGCTGCCCAGGCACGTCGGAGCCAACACCGTGGCGCCGGCTTTGGAGAGGAGAAAAGGCCTGTACCTGCGAGGCGCCGGCCGGCCGGCCGGGAACTGCAGGGAGGGGCTCCAGCCTGTCTCCCGGGCTGGGCGGTGTGAGGGGCAGCAGTTAAGGGCTCACAGGTGTTGCTCGTGAGTGGAGTTTCGCAAGGGTTCCTGGTAGGTGATGGATCCACGTTGGTTCTGGGTGTTGTTAGACATGTAAGAAACACACACGACGTTAATGAGCACCGTGAATATCAGCAGGAAGCAGAAGCTCCTTTTACCCATAATGCACAGTTCCTGGCACACAGTGGGTCCTCAGCACATGTAATATGTACTCATTGAATACTTTCTACCTCCAAAGACTGCAACGCATTTGGAGCTAGATGCAGCCATGCGGTTTGCTTGGAACGATGAAATGTAGGAAGTGATGCGATTTCTAGGGGGGACCACTCAGAGGCGGCGAGCGATTCGCTAGGTCCCGTCCACCCCCCTGGGGTGCTGGGCACAGGTGCTGAGGAAAGGTCTGTCAGTGGCGCCCAGCAGCCCTGATCAGCAGCTGCCCGCTGGCGGCTGGACACGCAGCAGGAGCAGACGCTGGGCGCCAGGGATGTGCTACTCAGCGGGTTCACCTTCTCACTGCGCAAGGGTGGAGCTCAGGAAGCAGAGGGGCAGGAGGTTAGAAAGGTTTCATCGCAGAAGCCAAGGGAGCGGGGGTTTCGGAGGGAGGCAGCGGTTACTCGTGTCAGCTGTCAGCAGCGAAGTACTCAAAGTGCCAAAGTGCTCAGCGTCGTAGGAGATGGTGCTTGGAGGCCCTTAGAGAGCGGCCTCTCACAGTGTCCAGCCCTCGCTCCTCTCCCCCCCCTGCCCCCGCCCCCCCCCCCCACCGCCTCCGTCCACTTGTCTCGCTGCTGGGCCTCGCTGTCTTGGAGCTCAGAGCAGCTGCGCTGGGGAGAGCTGGGAAAAGTGAAAGGACATCTCCCTGGGCGCCCTGGCTTCTCACCCACCTGCTGGGCGGCAGCAACCCCTGCTGGGACCCCCCCCCCCCCCGCCAACCCCCAGGCCTGGGAGGAGGCAGGGGAGGGAGGCGGGAGAGGGACGAGGGTCAGTGCCCCACTGGGTGTCCTAACCCTGCTGTTTGTCCTACTGCAGGCGACAAGCTGTCCGTGACAGAAGAGGACGGAGGGGAGACACCAGGGTCAGGCCTACTTTGAAGCTCGAGGTCCTTTGAGTCTCTGTATTCAGCATCAGTGACTGAGGTCCCCAAGGACCCCTCACCTCCGGCCTGTCTGTGACCTTTCTCACACTTAGCAACCTGCAAAGCCTCGCCTGTAGAAGAAGTCAATAAATGATGAGATTTGAAGTGTGGTGACACCGCATGGTCTCCGAGCCCCCGTCTCCCCTGGGGCTTCTCCCCGCCAGGCTCCGGCCTGAGACCCCCCAGACCAACACACCTGGTGTCAGGGCTGGTTGCACCTCCAGGGCCTTTTCCGGGCGCTACACCTGCAGCTCCCCCGGGGCACACATCCTGGGCCTGGGATGTGGTGTCATGCGGCACTTTGTGGCCCTGCCGGGGTGGGGGGAGGGGGGTAGGTCTAGAGCACGTTGGCCCCGCCCTGGGCACTTCCCCAGCCTCAGCGCGGGGCACAGGGAGCAAGCAGGTCAGCAGGTCGGTGCTCAGGATTCCTCACATCCTCTCTGTGCCGCTGCTCACCTCCTTAGCTGCTCTCTCTTATTTCACCTGGAACCAGACCCCTTCTGGCCTCTGACCTCTGGGCCCCCTCCTCTCTGGGCAGCAGAAAAGACCCATCTCCACCAGACCCACTGTTTCTCCACAGGAGGCTGCTAAGCCCTTAGCGCGCCGGTGTTTTCTCTCAGGGCACAGCCCCTCCCACAGCGGTCGGCGCTGGGGCTGGGCCAGGAGGACAGGCTCCGTCGTCTGTACTGTGCCCCCTGCTGCCCCACCCCACACTTCCAGCCTCATTTCTCCCCCCATTTTCTTTCAAGGGCATCCGCACCCACCTGTGGAGGTCCCCAGTGTGCTAGCGGGTTTATTCATGTCTAAGCCCCAATGTGGTTAAGGTCCTAGCTCTCCCCCCACTCTCTTCTCCCTCCCCCTCCCCCAGCAAAGTATGGGAATGAGTAGAATTTCAATGGGGGAATTCGAACATAAACTACCTCAACTACCTCACTGTTCTACTCTGCATGATCTTGGGGTGAACTGGAACCAGAAGTAAGGGGTGCGATGAGGAGTTGATACTTTTGCAGAAGGGGCAGGTTGGGGAGGAGGCATCTCCGTTCCTCACTCCCGCTCTGGCCGGGCCCTAAGGTGCTGGACTGGGGGGGGGGGGGGGATGCAGCAGGTGCTCATGGGCCTGACCTCAGCTCGTCCTCCCTGCCCATCACTGGCCTCGGGGTGGGGTCGCTCTGGTTCTGGGGCAGGGCCTGCGCCTGGAGCATGGGTTGTACTGCGTGACCCTGGGACCCAGGCTCTGCAGGGTCACCATGGTTTCCCCTTTCGGATCTTTGATGTTGAAATGGTGGTTGTTGTTGTTTTTTTTTTTTTTTGCATTTGTTTGTTCTTGTTCTTTTTTTTTCTTTTGAGTTTAATTGACATACAACATAATATTAATTTCAGGTATTGCTAAGAGAGTAAGTCTCAAAAGTTCTCATTACAAGAAAAATGTCTGTAACTATGTATGAAGGCTGTTAACTACTTATGATGGTGATCATTTTACAATATATGCAAATATCGAATCATTATGCTATACGCCTGGAACGTCACCCTGACCCCTCCGTGAGAGCCTTGTCCCCCCAAAGCCATTCCTGGCCGCCAGGCGCGTTGTGTCCCGCAGGCACACACC